GCCAAATGCATAGTTCAGGATAAGGTTTCCTGCCAATTTCCACGGGGTGTTGTATGTGTGTGTTGAGTAATGGAGGGAGGTGTTCAGGGGATGTGAGGTAAGCAGACTGATCTCCCAAAATAGAGAATTTAAGAGAGAGAGATTATCAAAGAGGAGTGCCTAGAAGTGCTGGACATGTCTGACATAAAATGAATGGGACTGAGAGATTTTATTGTAATCCCATTGGTTTGGGGTCACTAGTGTTCTGAATACACAATGCAGCTGGCCTTTACAAATTCCTGGAGTGAGGTGGGGTAGGTTGCAGTTACCTGCCTATTCATGCCTAGGCACGAACAAGGCCTAACACCTGTCACATAACTCTCATTTTGTTTTTGTTGATAATTTTTCATTGCACAATTCATACACAAATATCTTGCGAAACATTCAAGTAGTGCTGAAGAACATGGGGTAAAACAGAAATCACTATTATTGCGTTCCTTGTATGCCTTTTTCCTCCTCCAGTATAGATCCGATCAGGTTTTTGGTAAGCATTTATACATGTAGTTATACATACATACTTCTTAGATTTTTTTCCTGCGTATATGAATCATTATTGATTTTTTACTTTATATGTTTGCAAATGTGTCATAATCTGTACAACCTGCCCCCTTTTGATTCACATTAAGTTATTTATATTGGAGCAATTACATCAACAGCATTAATGAATGCCCAGTGGGATGATTTCAAAAGTATATTGCTTCATTTTCCATTTCCCTAATTATAGTGCAGTTGAGTAATTTTTCCTACATTAATTAGCTCTTTGTAATTTTCCTGGGAATTAACTGTTCATATTTCTTGCCTAGTTTTCTATTGGGTGGGCTTTTTTGTTTGGTTTGTTAGGTCTCTGTTGCCAGGGCTAGCATGCAGTGTTGTCATCACAGCTCACTGCAACCTCAAACCTCAAGCAATCCTCCTGTCTCAGCCTCCTGAGTAGCTGGGACGACGGGCATGTGCCACCACACCCAGCTAATTTTTTAAATTTTTTGTACAGATAGAGTCTCACTATTGCCAAGACTGGTCTCAAATTCCTGGCCTCAATTGATCCTCCTGCCTCAGCCACCTAAAGTGCTAAGATTACAATGTGAGCCACCATGCTTAGCCTGCTTTTTCTTATTGATTTGTGCACACACTTGCATATGTGTGCACAAAAATGGGTATTTTGCATATATTTTCTCCTAGTTTTTGTATGTCTTTTTACTTACAAACTATATTGTGTATAGTTTTAATTTCCCTAAATCCTCTCATTTAATGACTCTATTTTGTTTCTTTATGAAAAAGACCATTTGCAGTCTAATACTTTTTAAAAATTCT